TTTTAGTTTATCGATCTTCTATTCGCTCTTGAAGATTTGACATTTAAATACCAAACACCCTGTATAAGATATTACAATATTAAAAGTATGCGTACATATTTATACAATATTTATAAAGGATGTTTTTTTAAGCCCGATAGAACTTACAACTGTAAAAACTAGCACAAAAATGCAATTATAATCAAAAATTTTTTTTTATTCAAAAGATCAATATATGGCATTAACAATTGAAAATGATTTCGGGCATATGGCCACCGCGGCTGTTCTTGACGAAGCGCATTCTGGACGTCCAATTTTGAGTGACTTTTTCGAGCAGTGCCGGCCGTATGTCACGAATAACACGAACAATGTTGTCCTCCAAGGCGTCAATTGTTGCTGGTTTATCAGCATAAACCAGTGACTTGACGTAGCCCCAGAGGAAATAATCGAGAGGGGTCAAATCGCACGACCTTGGAGGCCAATTGACAGTTCCATTTCTCGAAATCAACTTATCGCCAAATTTTGATTTCAATAAGTCGATGGTTGCGGTCGACGTGTGGCACGTAGCGCCATCCTGTTGAAACCACATCTCGTCCGGATCAATGTCATCCATATTTTCAAATAAAAAATCATTGATCATGGTGCGGTAACGATCTCCATTGACCGTAACGCGAGCTCCGGCCTCATTTTTGAAGAAATAAGGTCCGATGATGCCACCAGCGTGTAAACCGCACCAAACGGTGCATTTTTCTGGATGTAATGGAGTCTGTAGGATCTCTTGTGGATTGTTCTCATTCCATATGCGGCAATTTTGCTTATTAACAAACCCGTTAAGCCAAAAATGAGCCTCATCGCTGAACACAATTTGTCGATAAAACAACGGGTCAGTTGCCAACTGCTCTAGAGCCCAATCGGCGAAAGCCGATTCAAGCGTGAGTCTATTCATAATGATTTGCCAGTGTATACTGAAAGAAATAAAAAAAATTTTTTATTAAAATTTAATTTTTTGTTTTATTTTTTACAATTTCAAGTTCTATCGGGCTTAAAAAAACACCCTTTATAATAAAAAATCACAAACTTAATAATAAATTATTATATAATAATATTTATGTTAATAATCGTAAATTTTTATTAATTGTCGATAATGTCGTCGTTCAATTATCCCGAGTCCTTTGGAGCCCCATTGACTAAGTTTCCACCGAGGGTTAGAATTAGGTCAGAATGTGGGAATTGACTAGTCACAGTCAAATATTCCTCTCTTACAGCCGAATAAGAGGGGAATGCTGGACTGTAGTTGATTCTTGCATTCTGATCCATCTCTAACCCTCGGTGGAAACTTAATCATTGATGACCACAAAAATTTGCCTAGGGCTGACAGTCTTTAACTATGTCTCGGTGCCTACAGTTATCGATTCCGTCCCTTTTTCACAAACTGAGTAGTAACCACCTTTCTACGAGTATGTGTGATATAATACAGAATATATAACTGTTATAATGTATTTTAATATACAAGTATTATAATATTTTTGAAATTATTACTATGTAATTATTACTATGTTTTGTGTTCTGTTTATAAAATATATATCTTTAACATAAAAAATATGTACTTTCATGATTTTGTTTACGATGGATTTATAAAAAAATTTATTTTGTAGCACTTAAATATTTTGATAGTTTTTTTTATATATATGTAGTACTCGTATAAGATACCAATTTAATAAAAATATTTAGTATTTGAATAAAAAACTGAAACAAAATAGTAAATTTTATTATTTTTCATATACAAAACATGTACAAAAACATAACAATATCGATAAGATGCCTTTCTTTAGATAAGATACGAGTATATTTACATAATATTCTATAAAGCATTAAGGGAATCAACATGAAATTTTACATATTTTTTTCTACATACTGAAAACTAGTTCTTGACATAGGATTTTTTCCTACGATGTTTAATTTTTCTTTTCCTAGCCAAAAACGAGTAAAATTTTTTGTGAAAAATCGTTATGTTAACTTCGATCAGTTTCTATTTTATTCAAACGCAATATTTTAAAAAACGACGTCAGCACGAGATCTATATTTCGATTTTATGAAACTTGTGCAATTTTGCTTTCAGACGAATCTTGTGCGAACAGTAATAATCACCAAAACCGTTTTGTATAATACGATGTACGAAAATGTAAATAATAAAAAATATAAAATAGCTACTCATTTTACATTATTCTTTAATAAAATTTTAATGTAAATAGGTAAATAGAGAAAAGTATAATCTTTGGAACAATCTCGATTTTTCTATCTCCATTTTTCCACAAAAAATTCGCAATTAGGCTTTGTTTTGATCCGTCAAGGTGTATATGCCCCCTTAATAGCTTTTAATCTAATTGCAATTACAGTTAATCAATTAAGAATTAAATAATTGTAATCGTTTACAATTACTTTTCGCAATTAATTTATGTAATTATTTTCAACAATTAATAATTACGAAATATAATTAATAATTGAATTAAAAATTACATTAAAATTGTAATTTATAATTGTTAATTGAATTACAGCTTTGCATAACTCTGCGCTAAATAGACGTATTAAAGAAACCGTTCTTTACTCTTGATATATGGAAATTTGTAAAGCTATGTATAATAAAACCGTTCATGAACTTATAACTTATACATAAAGCGTGATCCTATACAACTTTCAAACTTTCTACGCAAAACGAGATTTAATTTAAAAGAATTAAGTTTTAGTTTACGGGAGGATAGGAAACCATTACACGTATACCTTTGCGATTACGGACGACTCTACCCCTCTTATATCAGCCACCACACCGCTTAATTTCCTATTCGCTACGTCCTTAACTTCAGCACCACTCGACTTCCTCTGTTTAGTTAGTGGCCCACGGCTCCATGTACGAAGCAAAATTAACCAGTAATGCAATGTATGGTTTGTATGATGCAAATATGAGGCAATTGTCTGAAAAATATCATTGCTCCTTCAAACACTGGAAGCCTGCGCCCGCAGCAAATTAATATCGCGAAGATCGTGTGCCAAGATAAATAAAGGGGATTCTGAATATTTGAGTCAAGCTATCGTGGAAATATACAAGGTGAAGCATTCCTCTGGTTGCACAGTAAGAACGTGAATTTGGAACAAAGTATGATTGATTTCAGTATCCTATTTAGTATCCTATCCCGTTATTATATCCAAAAAAGTACATTAGAGTAAAAATTTTATTAACTGTTTCCAGTATAATTTCTGTCGCCATTATACGCAATATTTCACCTTGTGTATATCCATCACGAGACATACTACAGTAATTCAAAGCACATGGCTCGGCTGAAATCGGCGACACTTTTCAAAAATATTCAAAAGAACTACCCGAATTGAGATACATTTGTTCCGGACGAGTGAGGAAAACGATTGCAGCACCTGACACGTAATCAATCGGAACGTGACCAATTAATTACAACATAGCAAAATACAACGTGGTCATTTCTAATGGATGGCCAATTGCTACGAGATCATTCGTAACGCATGTGCAATCGCAACGTGATCAATTGCAATGTGGCCATTTGCGAATCATGGTCAATCTGTACGTGGCCAATTGCAACTCGTAATCAATCGCAACGTGGCCATTTAAGAATTTTTTCAGAATTTTTTAATACTGTATTTTTTCATGATAATAAAAATAAGAAAATGCAGTATTAAAAAGTTGATAAAAAATTCTGAAAAAATTCTTAGAATTCTATAAGAAAAAAATAAACAATTTTTACCTCTCATAAGTTTTTTGTAAAATTGATAGTATTTGAGAAAAAAATTATAGAAGACCAATATTCGGCCATTTTTAACAATCAATATCTTGTATTACGAAAATTATAAATATAAAACTTTTCTGTTCCCCTTGACCCATTCTAC